ATTTATCCCAACTGATTAATCGACTTTCCTCCATGTTAAATGGATTTTCATTAAAATTTTGTCACGTTTTATTTAGCAATTTCATTAGGTTTGTTATTCGTGTTAATAAATGTCTCGTCGTTTCGAGTTATTTAAAACTTAAAATCAAACTTATTTGATCATTAAATTAACGCAAAGTTTGTATATAAAATATAGAAAAAATATCGAAGATATGTTTTAAGAAGAATCGAATGGATCATGATTATCATATCACTGTTTCTTCTTTTTTTCGATACAACATTTTGTAGATCGAAAACGATCGAAACGAGGAAGAAACATAAAGTGGCTCTCTCACCTTGACACAAATCGCGAATATTACGTTGAATTAATTTCATTCGAGTTAATTATATAATCCCAAAGTAGTTTTATACAGTCCTGGTATTTCGAATAAATTCAAATATTATTTCTTATGCTTTTGCAGGAAATTCAAATGTAAATGAAGTTGCAACATATCTAATTTAAATTAAAATAACTTTGAAGAAATGGAATTTACAATTGTTTTGTATATTTTAATGCAGTGATGCGCAAACTTATAGACCGCAAAATTTTTGTTAACTTCACGTATTTAAAAGTAATAAATATTATTTTTATCTGTAAAATAAAATTAAAATTATATTTTTACTATCTTTTTCTTTAATAATAATAATAATAATATATATATATATACATAATATAATAATTAGTAAGATTTCAAGAATTTTTATTTAATTTTGTCCCATTGAATTATTGATTTAAAGCGATTTTAAATTTTAGTTCACCTCTGATATATATATATTTTTTTATAGAAACATCATAAATTAAACATTATGTGATCTTTCGAACAACTCTGAACAATAAAAAATCGATTAACATAATTTATGATGGAAAGGAAAGAGTTTGGGGAATCCATAACTGGAGACATATTTACGTACAAAATGTAACAACAATAAATTTTAAAGATCAATATTATAATCACGTAAGGGACGTGTGATCGTATAAGGTATCGTTACGAGCAAGAAAAATTCCAAACGAAGAATGGGTACGATCGCAGAAGGATCGAGGACACGACCCACTTTCGCTCACACAATTCAACAAAGTTGATTTATCTTTGTCTTAACTACTAGGAGAATAAAAGACAAGGATGAGTGGTAACGTTCGAATCAAAAAATGATTCGAAATGAACATTATTCTCATCTGCTCTCTAATCGATACTAAAAAAAAGGCTCACGCGTTCATTGTATGTTTTTTCCGAGATATTAGTTAAGAAAAAAAAAAAAGAAAAGCCAGATAATTGTTAAACAGAAGACAATTCGTTAATATGTAAGACGAGTAAATCAACCTTAGGAAATATTCTAAAGTCTTCTATGCCTCTATATTTGGAACGCATCGCATCGAATTTTTATTTTATTTCTGCGAAGCACCTTGACACACTTTCACGTCCCTCGTGTATGCGTAGAAAACGAAATTTGATAAAAGAAAAAAAAAAAAAAAAAGAAAAAAAAAGAAGATTTTTGTTGCGAGATTCTTATCTAGAAATATTGTTAAGTCGACTTACAATCGGAAAACATTATCAAAGGAATTATCGTGAAGGTCAGTGAGAGCTTCTTACTCGCCAAATATACGAGTCGATCGCATAGTAATGCAAGGTCGGTAGCGTTGCTTTCTTCGCGAATCGTTTGAACGTATTACGGGCACGTCCTTGACCTCCAGAATACACTGGCTCTTTAGAATTCGCGGGCACGTCCTTTCTTGGATTCGGCCTCTCCCACGGGATGTTCACGAGAAGGAGCAACAGTGTATCGGAGGGCCGATAGAGATATCCAGAATTTGGCAGAGTTCCATCGTAACATCGAATTCGCACGAAAGGAGACAGGACAAGATTTTCTAAGGAAAGCAATCCTATGTTTTAGGTGTTGAGAATGTAAATCGAAGGGCATTATTAACATAATTGTTTGGGGTTAACAAAGTGGTCCGAGCAGATGGAAATGCAAATAGAAACATCGAATTTGAGAATTCATTGTTTTCCATGATTATCGAAAGAAAGTTTTTAAGTTTGAATATGTGATATTAAATCAATTAGAGAGATCCCTCATACATTGGAATTTATTTAATAAATAGCATTTATAAATTGAGATTAAGAAAATAGATCGTTGTCGCTGTCTCGTAGGATAAATTTGTTTTTCTCTTTCTCTTTAGATACTTGCAAGCGATTAGATAGAAGAAAAACAAGCACGATAAAACGATTTAGTACGGTGACTAATCGTCCTCGAGACAAACGTCCTCTGATTATCTTTGTCATCAGATTCGAAGGATGACCGAGAAATCTATGAATTTCTATGGATTTTTAATTTACGTGGAAAAGCTGATCGTACAACATGCTTCTCGTCACGTAAGTATATATGTAAGTCGGTACACACGTAGATAGATACACATAGAGACACATGCATCGTGCATACGTACGATGCACTCTCTCTGAACGACTCGAGTTCTTTGTCTCCCGAGTGCATCCACCGTGACTCTCCACGAAGGAACGCTGTGCCTTCGGAATAGTCCGCTCTTACCGACGCATTCGAGCCTCTTTCAAAGCGTTATATAACCACCGTCTCAGACTGGCCGTGAACTTATCGTCATCGTAGTCGTAGTCGCAGTCGTAGTCGTTGTTGTCATTTTCGAACGCAATCTCATCCCTTTTCGTTCAAGACATTAATTTACTCTACGCCAAGCCAAGTATGCTTTTATTTCGCTTCTCTTTTTATTCTCAATTTTACATGTTAATTAGAAGAATTAATAAGAGAAAAGATAGATCGAATAATTGTAAATGTAGAATATTCATTGATTTATCGTTAATTGATATTAGCTTCGTGAATATTTATTGTATAAAAGAGATAGATAGATAGATAGATAGATAGATAGAGAGAGAGAGAGAGAGAGAGAAATCAGTAATATTATTGACACGAGCTTCACTTCTTGGAAAGGATAAAGGACGGATTATCGTAGAAGTCGATCCATCTTTGTGCTTGCTGTATAAATAGGGGCCATGAACGATTATCAGGTTTATATCTGGACTTGCATCAGTGCGTCGACCTATCTCGGTTGCTGCGCTCGCGTACTCGACCATTTCGAAATATATATAGTCGTTATAAACTTCTCCGCCATTTCTGTGAAAATTTAACGAAATCATAATTGAATTTCTTTCGAGAATTCATTAAATAATTGTTAATACGATAAATCTTTGTATGACGTTTTCGTCCCGTCCAGAAATATATTTTTATTTAATACGATTGGAATGATTTCCCTTGGAAAGAAAGAAAAAAATTATTTAGAATATCATTAATACGTACTATTCGTCCTTGATGTGCTCTCGTTCGATCGGTCATCGTACTGTCTTGATCTTTTTCAAAGCACTCGAGATATTTCAATGTCTGGGAATTCGAACAAAGGAGAAGTTTGCGTAGTTTATTCGCGACGAGGTCGTCAACCAGAGGCCGCCAGGGTGATGAAAAAGCGGCTTTTACGAGTCGCGAAGAAGAAATGGCGAATGTCTACACGTAGTTCGTCTGCAAGATTCTCTGTTTTGAGTTTGTAAACTTATTCGCGCCATTCTCTGTTTCTTAAATGTTCATCGATATTTCTAGGATCTTAACATGTTCCTTACAAAATCAAAAAGGAATTCTTTTTTCTTTCTATCATTTTAAAATTCACTTTTTATCATGTAAAATATTATAAGAGATTTTGCCGATGATTCTTACAATTAAATATTTACATATTTAAGAGAATTTATTATATATGCGATATAAAAAGAATTTTATCCAATTTTAAACTTATAGTAAATGAATTATCGAACGTTCGATGTAAAGCTTTTAAAATCTTTTTACATCTTTTTTAATCTTTTATATCTTTTTACAAAAAAAAAAAAAAAAAAAAAAAAAAATGAAGTTTCGTAAGTGTTCGACTTCATCGAATGGTTTCTTAAGAGACTTTACGATGTTAGATAAGTGTCTTTATAATATTTCCAGGTAAAACGACGCAAATCATCTAATGCATTATGGACAGTTTGTCGAGCATCAATATCTTCTATGAAGATCGTTGGTCATCGATGGGATCAGGGATAAAAAAAATTCGAATTATTTCGAAATATCAAAATTGTAATGCGAAATCTACTGAAAGGCGGGAACAACGAAAAGTAAAACTGGACTCTAAACAATCGTGTTATATTTGATCCGTCGTGCCGCGTGAAAGAAGAAAAGCACGTGTTACTTTTCACTATAGTTGCACTTCAAAAAAAAAAAAAAAAAAACTATTTTAACGAAGAGATAATTTTATCGACACTATGCAGTAAATTATGTTATGTCGACGTTGTGATTTGATCGTAGAAAAGTAAAAACAAAAAAAAAAAAGAAAAATCGATATTTTGTAAAAGTCGTTCGTACCGAAGGATCGACGATTTGTTTTTTTTTTTTTCTTCTACAAGAAACGAAATAAATATTGAAAATACATATCATACGTTACATAAAAATCAAAGTTTGATTGATAAAAAGAAAGAAAAAATACGATAATTATGCTTGTCCCTCCTTCATTATTTGCATTTAGCGGCTATGGGCATAGGAACTCGTAAATATATTGAATGTATCTTCGCGCACAAAGCGATTTCTACAAACGTTACCGTTATCCAAGTTTGGCGTTTCATAACGGTCTTTACGTAACCGTGGCGTATACCTTACGAAACGCTCTTGATTCCTGGCGGAATCGCGCGCGAAGGGAACACATTGGTAATGCGAAGGGTTTATGCTGAAATGTTTAGACGATCAAGGGTCTTTTCTAAAAGGAAGAAAGATGGGGAGAGAAAAAGGAAGAGAGAGAGAGAGAGAGAGAGAGAGAGAGAGAGAGAGAGAGAGAGAGGGAGAGAGAGAAGGAAGGAAGGAATGAAAGGAAAAAAATAAAGGGAGGGTTCAATAGGAAGACAGACACATTTACGTACTCACCGAGTCGTACGGCGAGGTTGTACCTATCCAGAGCCTGAGCCAGGTCACCCTCCTTTATGAGGAGGTCGCCCTCGTGTCTCGCTTTGCTCGCCTCTGCCTCGCGTGGCCACCACTTTTCCACGAGCCTTTGCACGAGTACGTTCGTTTGACCGACGTTGAGAATTTTTTGACCGCACACGCGACAGTTTTTTCCCATTTCCATACAGTTCCTGCAGAAAGTGTGTCCACAGCTGGTGGTGACGGGTTCAAATAAAGTCCCTTCGCAAAAGGGACATGCAAAAGAGAAGTCGATCTTTCTTCTTAATGGCATGCTGGGACTCGTTGAGATAGACATCGTAGTTGAACTCGTTGTAGTCGTCGTCGACGTCATCATTGTTGTCGCGCTAGTGATACTCGGTATACAACTGGCCGTATTCGTTATCGTAGGACCAGCCAATTCTTCCAGGATGGCGGATGCGAGATACCAAGTAGCAGGTCTATCTGCTCTGACCAGACTCTTTTCATATATCTCAACAGCGAGACGATATCCACAATAACGCGTCGCGAGACGATCTTTGGCGGGTTCCATTCTGACGATGATTGTCGTTCAAAGGACTACACTTTCTTTATCTCTTTATCTCTCTCTCTTTCTCTTTCTCTCTCTCTCTCTCTCTCTCTCTCTATTTCTTTCTCTCTTACTCTTTCTCTATATCGGAGGGACGCAGAGTCCTTTTTACGTGCGCGCGTCGCTCGTCCGATAATCCGCGCGGTAGAAGCCGCTTGAGTAGAATTTTGATATATTAAAATCGGCATGCATCATCTTCTCTTTTTATTAACTTTGAGAAGGGAAAAAAACTCGACGATTCCCGACGAAAAAAAAATAAAACGCGTGTTATGTTTGACAAGTTCGCTCGAGCACGCGGCTATCGAGGAACTCGCAGGAGATTGCACGCCATCGAGCTCCGCTTTGTACGAGCGTAGAACGTCGACTGATGCCACTAGAAGCGTCGTTCTCATCGCACGCCACCGTCACCGTCATCAACCCAGCCGGCGGCTTCTGACTGCCGACGATGCCAGCGCCACTTGTTTCCTCTCGACTCCTTTTCCATGCGATCGCCTTTTTTCCACTTTTCTCTTTATTTCTTTATTTTCTCACGACGATCGATTAAATTTTCTTCTTTTTCTTTTTCTTTCCTCTCTTATATACTGAGAAAAGCTTATTGTTATGCAAAATGTTACGATAACGAGTCGAATTCCGATTGGATCGATCGATCCTTTCACAAACGAGCCTCGACTCTCCGGGCTCTTAGCAGGCTTGCTTTTACGGAGCATGAGCAGTGTCGTTCGGTGTCACGACGCCACCCTCCCGCGTTACAACCTTTTAACCCATTTTAAATAAAAACTATCCGACCATAGGATCAACCACAAAAAATAACAATACCTTGCTCTATATATTCCGATACGCTTTTATTTTTGGAAATCGATTGATCCTAACAAAAAGAGACACCGTTCCATCTTTACGCTTGGCCTCGGAGAGGCCATAGCTCCATCTGGCTTAACTCTTGTCAATGACCCCGCTGTCGCGTCCTTAGATAATCAGAGTTCGTTTCTCCGAACGGATTGCTTACTGTTTCGAGCTCCTTGCATTTACGCAAAGTTATCGATACGATATTGATACATTTAATTAGACCTTATTTATTTTTATAATGCACCGAGTACTTGGGAAATCTTTATTTTTCGTATCAAATTAAAATATAATTTTTCGTATAAAATTAAAATATATTATATTAATATTAGTTAATATTTGTTTATTTTCTTTGATAAGAACAACCAAACAATATTTGAATTTCCGGATACATTGCGTTATAATTATTTTTCTGCAATGATGCAATAATAAACGAACTATCATATGTGTTTTTCCGTGAACATTTTTCTACCTTAAAAAAATGTTTTTTCTTTTTTCTTTCTTGCTTTTTTTTTTTTTTTTTTTTTTTATTAATTACCATATCTTTAATAAAGATATGGTAGTATTCTTGGAAAAATGTTGACGTTTTCGATATTATGAGGAGAAATATTTACAATTTGAAGCGAGCTCGAATTATTATCGCTTCCATGCTTTATTTTTTCGCTGTTTATTAAAAATGCATAGGGAGTAATATATACAAATGAGATACATTTATCAAATATGAATCAAAAGCATTTTCGCTCGAAAAACTTAACTGTGTGATTGTGTTTGTCAAAAGATAGAGATACTCGTATGAACATATTGAAAACAGCCATTCGAAAAACAAAAATAAAATTTGAAAGAACCTAATCTTTTCTATATGCTTGCATATAGACGTTTATCTGCTTACGTAAGGTATTTGTGTCGAACAAAGAGTCACCTTTGTCGATCGCAAAACAAATTGTTAATTATCGAAATACGACGTATCTTACCGTTACGTAAAAGTTTTACGCATGGATTAAGTGAAAGAGAAAGATATAGTAGTTTCGTTTATGTGTCATCGTCTAGACGTCATTACATCTATCATTACGATGAGACTTTTCATTACAATTCTATTTTATATAAATATATTATATATATATATATATATTCAATAATATATATATTTAATATTATATATATATATATATATATATATATATATATTTAATAATTTTTCAATCAGTTAAATGTACAACATCGGGACGTATGTCACACAAGAATAATAAATAACCTTGATCAAGTTATCGGTATTTATTCAATTTAAAAGCGAGTCATCGAAATTATTTATAGTATATAACAGTTGATATAACGTATGTAGACTCTTTTACGACTGTTTTAAAATCGGAAATCGATACTTTGTTTTGAGAGTTCGATTGATTTCTTCAAACGATATTTATCAAAATAAGTAAGACGATATTTATTTGAGATTATATTCGTATCTCGATGCAGCTTCTCACACGTCGATTCTCATGAATTTCGAGATACGTTAATCCTCGTATATTTGTATTCTCTGAAACTTTTATCAATCATTCGATGTAATTTCATATTTTTGAAGTTGATTCTATTTTTCTATCTTTTCTTCTTCTTCTTCTTCTTCTTCTTCTTCTTCTTCTTCAACCAAAAGATGCGTTGACATCTCTACGACTTTGAGCTTAAGGTCGTACGGCTTTACAAAAATGTGGTTAGTACCGCTTCGAGGAATGACTTTAGTCACTACAGTTATATAAATCCTCTTTCGTCAATAGGCTTCCATAGAGGAAGTAAAATCATTTGCGATTGTATCATCGAAAAAACAAAAACTCTCTTTTTCGAAAAAAAGAAATAAAAGAATATTTTTTAATGTCTGAGATTCTGACGATTTGATTAGAAAACACAACGAGGAGTTTGCCTGATAAAACGTAAAACATTCCTATGAGGATTTTATACCGTACTTATTTATTCTTCTCGCGTGAGATAGACGTTATTTTCATCTTGGTATATATATATATATATATATATATTTTATTTTCTACAAACGTTTCGACGATAATGCGCTTAGCACTTTACAATCGGCTAGTAGTTTCATCCACAGAGCAAAGTATTCGAAGCATCAATCAGTTGAAAAATATTTCCAAATGAGATAATACAAAGGAGAAATTTTTTTTTAAGGAAATGGAATGGTTATTATAATAATACGATGAATAAGTTTGAACTGTGTACAAGATCACTTAATCAAATTTTTCTATGGAAAAAAATCTTTATTAACTCTGTAATAACAGATCTTAATTATCTTAATTCTTATTTATTTTCTTGTTTTTTTATTTTTTTTTTTTTTTTTTTGAAATTGTTAAAGAGAAAATATTATACTAACTATTATTCGTAAATATTAAAGCGGAAATATATTTTTTCATGAAATTTCATAATTTCATATGTGCATTGAATTATATTACATTTATTAATATGTTGTAATTTCGTAAAAAAAAAAAAAAAAAAAAAAAAAAAAGAAAAAAATACATACTTAAAGGTTAATCATGATTATTTGACTATGTACGATTGTTGAGTATATATAGATTTAAAATCGATCGTCTACATATGTCTAATAGTTTGAACTTGATTTCAACTATCGAGAATAAAAGAAGCATCTGTGACGAAGTTTATCTCCAATGATTTAAAAATGCCGCGACGAAGTGTCTTCGTTGGTTCACGAATCGTAAGCATCGTATAAAGAATAGTGGTGTGACTATAAATAAAGTACGCTCTCGGTAAACACTGGGGAAGCTTTATATAATGAATGAGAGTGAATTGACGCGATAGTGAGTTAGAGAGCATATGTGAAAGAAAGATAGATATAGAGACAGAGATAGATATAAAGATAGAGATAGAAAGAGAGAGAGAGAGAGAGAGAGAGGGAGATAGCAGTGCACGATTACACGTGCTATCGATGATACCCGATGACTACACAGACGTAACTTGAAACAAGCGAGTTTTAAGAAGACCACGAATGAAAGAAGTGCATTATCATTTTAGCGTATTTTCAAGAATCAAACTTCGATTATATAATATTCATTCGTATTCCTTCATAAATGACGATCATATCGGCGTTGTTTATAGTATTAGTATAATCGTTTGGACGTTTCTAGTTGGTACGTGTTATATAATAAACTATTCGAATTCGTAGTATTTATCATTAAACAGTGATGATATCACACATTTATATTTTTGTTTCATTTCGTAGACTATACGTGTAATTTTAAATATATAATTCTTACGAGCTTTTCGTTAAAGACGAATTGGTTTTTGGTTTACGTGCTATTATACATAAACGTGTGATGTAACGAAACGTTACGTACGGCTCGTGTTAGATTCAGGGACGGTGTGAGATTATTTCACGAAACATTTCTTTTTACGTGAAAGTTCAGTATAAAAGAATATGTTCGATAGCGAACATCAAAAGATGTTTGAGTTATTTCTCGAAATGTTCTTTATTCCCTTTAAAAATCTTCGCCATTAGGAATGAAGATTAAACGCGTCATTTCATTTCCAATATTTTAAATACTTTTTCTATATGATAGTACCGACGTACAAAAAAAAATTTCAATTTCTTATTGGATTTATTCTTAGAAATATTGATTTATTGATTTTATCAAAAATTTGACTTTATCAAATTTTAGTTTAAACGAAAATTTGATTTTATCAAATCTTACCTTTAATTTTTCGATTATACTTAGAAAATGTATATAAATTGATAAGTTTTATTGATAATTGAAAAAGAAAACGTTCCAGCAAATGAACATATACCATTTGCAGATGTACATTAACCATTTATCGTTGATAATTGTTACAATATTGTCATTCATTCGGAGACAAAGTAATCTCGAATACATTGTGGAAAGAGTACGACGCAAGAAACGATAAATATGTACATACATGGTACTGGTATCGATTAATTCAATCGCTTATTTCACAAGGCGAAGTCTTTCTAACAGAAATGTAAAAACTATGTTACTTAAGAGTGCATGTTTTTATACACATTCTTCTACAGATTATACATAGTGAAAAAAATCTGAAAGTGTATCGATTTAAAAATATCATAGCTCCATAAAAATGATCGTATATTTGAAACAAACTTACATTTTTTTTTTTTTTTTTTTTTTTTTTTCTTTTTTCTTTTTTTGTATTGAACGAAATATCTAATGCATATATGAAGTCTTTAAAAAATAATATTGACGACATTTTTAATAATTCCTTGGATTTCTTTGAATGTTTAGAAAGATAATGAGATACTGGCTCGTTGTACAATATTATACATGATTGGACAATGAACGATAAAGAATGGTAATCATCGATCTTGCATAATCTTTTACATTTATCATTTTTTATATGATCTAAGTCAAGCTGATCTTATATATAGGTCAAAGTAAAATCTCTTTCCAGGTTGATTCTTTGAGAAAATAGGGTAATCACGTGCTGCTCTTTGAGACGAGTAGCAGCTCTCTCGTCATCGACTATGTTCAGATCGGTTCTCGGCATAAACTTAGGAAGTAAGGAGTCTAGTAGACCTATCTAAGCC